AATGCATAGATTTTAATTAAACATTTAATGCCGGTAAGGGCACTATTTACTACAGCTTTCATCATGCTTACGCGAGCACCAAGTCATAGTGGCATATTCTTGAATTGGGGTATTTTGTTTTTTTTCCCCCACTGCTTGCTAGAATTGCCTTTATTCCCCCCAGAGGCTGGCGGTTGTTGAGGGGCTGCTCAGCCCTTCTCCCGTAGCTTCCTTTCAGCATGAAACACGGAGCGGAGGAGGAGCTGGCAAGTGATGGATTTGTATTAACCCCAGGTTGTATTAAACCCAAACCCGACTTACTACAGGAACGACAATGCTGGGAAAGACTGGCTTCAATGCAAAAATTCCCACCACATTTTTTCACTGTTAGGTCTCAGAGCAGCCGACAAGACGGCCAAGTTCAGTCCCCGTTTTGCACACAGGCAGCTAAGGGGCCTGTTAGAGGGCAGCAGCGCAGCCGACTGCGACGCGTTCCACAGGACAGCCCTTCTGGCGCGGAGCTTGCTGCAGAGGCGATTCCTTGTTCGGTCTCCGCGTCGAGCAAGCAATTGCCTGGCACAGAATCGTGACCAGATACTGTGTCCCAGAGTAAGTGACAGTGCAGAACACTGTGAAAGGCCTGAAATCCATTCAGATGCCAAAATGAGGTAGCTCTCATTATTCCCATTTCCCTTGCTCAAATTCCTCTCCTTTTAAGTGGTACTTCAAAAAAAAAAAAAAAAAAAAACCACCCCAAACACCAAAACGAAAACAGTTCCAACATTTGCCTTATTAGGCCTTGCATCTCACAGTTACATCTGCCATCTTTTCACTTTAATGATCTTTTATTCAAGTGGAATAATTTGTTAGCTTCAGTTTCTAATTATGCCATTTTTGCAATTTGCAAGTCCCCAAAATAAGCCTACACCATGTCCAAGAGAAATTCAAAGGGAAATTGCCAGTGTTTTTCTATCAATAAAGGTCTTCAGCATAAAGAAATGCTTGAAATTTTATTCAAATATGTACATAATTTCTAATCATCATCACCCTGAGGATTGTCATCCTTCAGCTGCAGAAGGCACTTTCTAAAGAGGAGAAAGTATCTCACCAGAAAAAGCACATTTTTTTGGACCTGATTTTCGCTGCAACAGGACTGTGATACAAGGGCTGCACGAACCGCCCGTGTCCATAGCTGTCTGTCTTCCAGTCCTCACCTCTTCTTAGCTCCTTCCATTTTCTTTTAAACTGTCTAGAATTTCTTAACTGCTTCAAATGTCTTTTAAAGCTGTCTAGAAGTTTATAAAATCCTTGTTTATTGGATTTGAGCATAGAAATTCAAACTATACATAAATAAAAGTATTTAATAAAGATCTTTTCTAAAGGAGGTATTAATTAACCTTTTAAAACACAATTGACACATTTCTGCTCAGTTTTGTGCTAATTAACTCCAGAATAACTCTCGCTAAAACCAACAGAATTCACCAATAAAAAGTTTGGTCAGGATAAAAGTCCAGGCCAGCTTCCCCAAAGATAAATACAGGAGGGTTCTTCAAGCAACGTTGAGTACTGTTGGATTTTTTTTTTTCCCCCCAGCAGGAAGTTTAAGCACGAGATTTTTCTATTCTGTGTCATCAGCAAGTGACGCTCCACACATCTCTTCTTCCTTGGGTGAAATTCAGCCCTTCACGTCTCGGTGCGACAGCCCCCTTGGTCACGGCAGCTCCGGCGAGGTGTCTGCTGCGCAGCGGAATCCCAGATTTGAAGCAGAGCTGTCAGGAGTGTTTTGACTACGGGCTGCACAGCGGTACCTGTAGCAGTAGGACTGCAGAGTAAGTGGGGGGGGGGAAACCCAACAACTTTAGAGCATATCACAGCTTGTGCTTCCTTAGGCAAGAGTTTATTAGATTAATATAGCAAATCATTTCAAATGCTGTTGGAAAGATCAATAAACTGATACAGATCAAAATCACTGTGTTAGAAATAAGGGAAATCCTGCTGTATACAGAGACCAGCTGCAGCTGATACAAAAAGTAGTTTGAATGGCAGAGTGATAACATGAGTGTCAACTAATAATCTATCCTGCTCCTGGAAAAAGCTAAAATAACCATTCTGCTGCTCCTCGGAGGAGGAGAAAGCATCTCAGTACCTGGATTTGTGTATCAGTATTTTAAGGGATGAGGACATGGCAATGGACAGGTACTGGCACCTGTCAAAAAACACTTCACTGAATGAGATGCAACAAGAAGAAAGGAGTAACTGGAGGCAAACTCCTTCCCAGTATTCCTGTGGCTAGCACTTTAGGGATATTATCAAGATATAATCTGCACTGGTGGCTATAAAAACACTTACATTTAACATTAAGCCACTGGTAAAACGGTTCAGTTCCATCAGGTATTCCTAGTAGCCAACTTTGAACGCTGCCCTCTTCCAGGATGAGCTGCAGTCACACAGCAGCTGCCTCTCCAAAAAACGGAAGGAGGAGCCATCATTGCCATTTCATTTCTTTAGGTGAGAAAGGAGGTTATTTCACAGGACTCGTCCTCACACCCATCAGACACAGCCATTTGACGCCGCTGATGCGCGTCAGTGGGAAATACCTCTGCGCCTTCATTCCCAGTGTTGTCTTGTGCTTGTAGGATTTGATATTTCTGTGATGGACCAACTGGCTCAAAAATGTCATCTTAAAAGATTCAGAAAAGGACTGCTGCAGGGCACTTTGTACAAGTTATTTCGAGAAAGGCTGTTAACTTCTACACAGCCAAATAGACCTAAACAGGACAAGGTCAGATATCATTACAGCAGGGTACAGGCATGGTCTGTAACGGTGTGTGCGCTGCCCGGCTGTACAGATTTGGCCACGTCTCGGTGCACGTTAATGTGCTTGCACTCCTTGAAAAAAGAAAAACCTGTGCTAGTGACGGTGCTACAGACTCTGTTAATCTGACGTTAGGAATGGTGGTTTCCAAACTGCAGAACGAACCAGCTTAAGTGGTTTGCTACACAAAGTTATGCTGCCCAGAAGCACTTATCCATGGTAGCATGGAAGGAGGACAGCCACACTGGTAATTTCACTAGGAAAGTGCTGTAGTAGTAGACTGTGTGTCTATGTAGCAACTCCAGTACAGCCCATCCAAGTTCTGCCCCATTTTGCTGGTACTTCAGAAGATCTGGCTCAGGCCTTTGTTCCTATCCCTCCGGCTACAGGCTCCTGGCCTCTGACAAAAACCCACCACTTTTCCTTCGGGCTGGTTCAGCTGCGTGGAGTCAGGCTCTGAACCAGACTTCTGGAACAGCTAGGTTCAAAAGCAAACAC